GGAAAATCTGTATCCTTTATAAATTACAATTGCTTGTATCGTGTAATAAATCCAATTTAAGAAATCCAAATCCATATTATGTATAAATTGTAATTACTTATATCGTTTAACAAATTTAATTGGAAAATGCCAATTTCATATAATACTTTATAAATTATAATTGTTTATATTGTATAACATATCTAACTTGGAAATGTTAAATCCGTATCCTTTAAATTGTCAGTGATCCATTTGTTAAATCTCTCTTCAATCTCTGGCGTGAACATTTCTTTCCAACGACCCGTCATTCCTTGTCGAATAAACATTTCCGGTTGTATCACATTGGGAGAAAACGGCTGATTTACCATAGGATTTTTGCGAAAATTTTCTATTTTCAAATGCTCCACTAACTTTGCGATTTGTTCATCGTTGTAAGATTTATCGAAGAACGCAGCGATTTTTTTTACATTACCTTGTAAATCCTATGAAAAATTAATAAACATGAACTATAAAACCATATATATCTTTAATATCGTTAACATTCTATATTTTTATTATCGAATGTATATTAATTTTTTTTGGTATAAGGTGATATCAGAAATTAGTGATGTAAATAAGCGGTATGTTTGCACGTATGTATACTATTAATTTTGTTGAAAAAATGTTTTCTTTAAAGAAATAATATAATTAAATCATATTTATTTTAAGATTACCAAATTTATTTAAGAAATGAAATAAACTGTACTCATACCAATAAAATTCAAAACTTCAATAAATATTGAAAATGGAAGTACATATTATAATCTCTTTTTATTACTTACGAAAGACAAATTGACATAATTTAAGAAAATCCTTTTTACATTTTTTAAATGAAATTGTGCAATTAAAGTAGAATTTTTTTCTTTCACCTTTATTAGATCTTCATAAAAAAGAAACAGCATGTTTTTTCTGTGTTTTATCGCCCAAGCTTCCTTTACATGTTCCCAATATGGACTACATAACGCTAGAAAATTGTGCAAAATTAGACTCTCGAAACACTAATTAAGAAAAAATGAATTAAGTAAATATCAATCGACATTTTACAAAACTTACTGTGATTATTCATGAAATTATTGCAGAACTGTCCGAAAGTTCCTTGAAAACTGATGTGTGTTATAGTTTTTTGGAAATAATACCAGGAAACCACTACATCTTTTGGATTTCTTGAAACATAGATAATCTGGGAGCAAAAATGATGCTTAAAAAAAGTGTTGTTTATAAAATAAAAACATTTTTCAAAGAAAATTCAAATTTCAAAGATATACGGTACGAAAGTTAAAGGCAAAATTTTGCTTTTTTCCAAAAATTTCAAAAATCTTTCCAATTTGTTTGAGTAGAACATGAAACATAAAGCTTCATTAAAATAATCCAATTGGTTATCAAAATTTTTGGAAAAAAGTGAAGTTTTTTCTTCAATTTTGACACATTGTATATTCAAAACTAAGCCCTTCGGACATATAATCATAAAGTTTTTCTCTAAACTTGTCTTGAATTTGAGAAATTACTCCTTAAAATCTTTTACATTAATTTGTATCCATTCTGTACAATTATACTTTAAAAAAGGAAATCTCTCTACTAAATTTATATTTTCAATATGCCTCCTCAAAATTCATGTAAGTTTTGCAATCTTTTCGTGATGCATGAATTAAAAAAACAATTTGTTCTTAAATATCATCTAAATGCAATTTTAATAATGTACATAAATGACAAATTCTAAGAGGAGTTTAATAAGACAGCTTTAAAAGAACTATTTTTAATTTTTTCTTTTACTTTTTTAAATTTTTTTATTAATGTTTATGTAATTCTTTTTTATTTTTATAACATCTATACATATAAATATACGTCTAATTTATGAAATATTAACGCACCTTGCAAGTGCTATTTACGACGGTCGGCAGTAGGTCGAAAGGCATGTGGCTCTTAATGAAACGCGGTGAAGGCTGATTCCGCACAAATTCAGCAGTATTTTTGTCCATATTAATCCTACCAGGAACATCTTTCCCTGCGATATGTTCTTCTAACATTACTCCTAAACTATAACAGAAGAAAATATATGTATACTTCTTCTAAAGTGTCTTTTAATTTAGAAAGTTTAACAATTTTGTTCTATAATCGTTATTTCATATAAGAAGGAAAATATAAAGATAATTCGGACTTTTTATATTTTTTATTAAATGTGAAGTCTAATCCGAGGAAATTTCTTACGCATTCTAGATAAAAGCATAAACAATAAAATAAAAACACATGGAAATTCAAATTTAGTTTTAATTAAATTTTTGCAGTTGTTATGTAAGATATGTCATATATGGGTATACATATGGATATACATAAAGAGATTAAGATATTATGGATATTATTTAGATATGGATAGATTAAGATATTATTGGATATTATGAGCGTTCCAGGTAATATGAGCACTCTTTATATTTCTACGACGGGTTGATACTCGACAATTACTCGTGCAATCTGCTGTGAAAATATGTATCTGTCTTTACAACATTCCAGTATGATGCGGAATATACACTAATTTTGTGTCCTTCGGAAAATCGAATTAAATAAGCAGATACGTTGTTTTCTTATTTTTTATGTTTTTTCCTTTTATTTTGTACAATTCTTAATCTATATATACATTGAGATAAAATATCTTATTCTACATGTAAATGTTTATAAAGTATAAACAATTTAGCCGTCTAAATATCACAAATTTTTAAGATTATTTTAATACAATTTTTAACTGTTACTTTTTATTAAATTTTAAATATTATCTTTTTTTTCTTTGAAGATCTACGTTTGTCTATTTTGTACTAAGAAAATAATTATACATTATAACATTTACTTTATTATAGAATATTTTAGCACTGTTCAAATAAAATTTATTTCATTTTCTACTAAAATGTTAAATATTTATTCTAATTGAATATCTTAGGTATTATTTTTTATTATCATTTCTGTATAATTTTTTTAGAAAATTTCCTGTGTTCGTATTGCCCACTATTCCTACTATATTATTCTATCAAAAGTATGAACATTGAATGGATAATAGAAGCACCCTCTACCATTTCAACATTTGCATTAAAATAATCAATATATTAAAATACATAAAACATAAACAGACTTATCAAATGAGAACAAGATTTTTTTATTTCTTCAATATGTAGGAAATATCAAAATGTTTTCTTAAGATGCTCATAATACTATCTTATTCATAATACATACTCAATATAGGGAAATCTCTCTGCTAAATATTTTTTATGTGCCTCGTC